CATCGATTTTAATTTCAGCTTGGATAATAATTTTAAATGACTTTAAGATAAAAACAGCATGAAAGATACTGGAGTGTCACCCCTGTGCTTGCATACCTGTTGCATTTTGTAACTTAAAACTGCTTCAGGACAACCTGAGTGCTTGTGTGAACACCTACTTACATCACTCCCTAGCTCTGTACAATTTAGATCCTCATTACTTGTTGAATTATGTTTTTAGGAATTACAGTATATATATATATATATCTTGTCTGTGGTCTGGCCTTAAAGTATTTGTAATAGTTTCTGTTACAGAATTTTAGGTATTACTATCAGTAATAGATGCTGATAACTTCAGTAGGTAATATTTTTTTAGTATTTTCTATGTGCCATGTGATGAAATACTGTACATGGGTTATATCATATATCATTTTTACAAGAAGACTGTTTTCGCCCAGTAAATTGTTTTTTGTGTGTATAATAGGTTTATTTTCTTGGAATCAGGAGTAGGGTAAGAATCATGGCCTATGTGCTACCTTGGCTTTTTTTAATTTATTTTAATTTTTAAAAAATACTTTATTTTTAAGTAATCTTTACACTCAGTGTGGGGCTTGAACCCATAACCTCGAGATCAAGAGTCACACACTCCACCGACTGAGCCAGCCAGGCACCCCTATATTTATTTATTTTAATTATAGAAGTAATTCATGTTCATTCTGAAACACAAGAATACATTTTATGTTTTACAGAATATAAAACCAAACCAATATGCATGATTATTAAAATTTGGGGCCTATTTCATTTTTATGTTCAATAAATTTACAAAGTAAATATACTAAGTAGTTAAAAAGAAAAAATCCAGGTAACTTCACGTTAAAAACAGCTATGATGTACTCTAACTAAACCACTATTGTAGTGTGAATACGGTGTTTTACTGCACAGGTTGTCTTCAGTTCTGCAGCATATACTATAGCATGTACTGTGATGATTCACATTTCTTGCCACTTAGCCCTCACCAATGAACAGAAACAAACTTGTGGCTTCTGTTTAAGATTTTGCTTCTGGTCTTTTACATAAAGTTGACCTTTGGGGCGCCTGGGTGGCTCAGTTGGTTGAGCGTTCAACTTCAGCTTGGGTCATGACCTCACGGTTTGTGAGTTTGATCCCCTCCTTGGGCTCTGTGCGGCCGGCTCAGAGCCTGGAGCCTTCTTCGGATTCTGTGTGTCCCTCTCTCTCTGCCTCTCCCCCAGGCATGCTTTGTCTGTCTGTCTGTCTCTCTCTCACTCTGAAAAATAAATAAACATTAAAAAAAAATTTTTTTAAGTTGACCTTTGATCAACATTGATATGAACTGCACAGGGTCCACTTGCAGATTTTTTGGGGATAACTACAGTACAGTACTGCAAATGTATTTTTCTTAATAACATTTTCTTTAGTTTTATTGTAAGAATACAGTATATAACACATACACAAAATATGTATTAATCAACTGTTTATGCTAGTGATAAGTCTTCCAGTCACCAGTAGGCTATTAGTAGTTAAGTTTTGAGGGAGTCAAAAGTTATGTCTGGATTTTTGACTGCATGGGGTGGGGGGGGTTGGTGCCCCTAACTCCCATGGTATTTTATGAGTCAACTATAATGAGGTTTTAAGCCTATTTCATAGCTGTTTAAAAATAATATCTGTTCCTTGTTTATTGAGTATAGAGTCTCCCTTGAGCTAGTTAATTTTGTTTCAGATCTCTTACAGCCCTACTATTTATCTAGTTGATGTGTTAATTTCTTACACCATAATTATGGTTTTGATCTTTTCTTTTTGGGGGTTTAATTTTTTAAATTTCCTATTTAAAGCTATAAGTGGAATTTTTAGGAGACATTAAGTTTATTATTAAGATTTTGACATAGTGTAATTGTATTCAATTGCAGGTAGTTCATATACTTAACGTTTTTTTTTTTTTTACTAGTTTTCACATATTCAGTTTTTTCATCAGATTTATCAAGGTATATATAATAAAACTCACCCTTTGTTAATTGCATAATTCAATGAGTTTTAGCAAATGTATAAGGTACTGTAACTACTGTAATCAAGCTATAGAACCTTTTTTAATCCCAAGAATTCCTCTGTGCCCTTTGCAGTCGGTTCTTCTCCCCTCCACTACCTCTTGGTAATCACTGATCTCATTTCTATTCTTCTAGTTTTGCCTTTTCCAAAAAGTTATAAAAAAGAAATGTCAAAAAATAAAAGCCTTTTGTCCCTGACTTTTTAAAGTTAGCATAATGGTTTTGAGATTGATCCATGTTGGTGCTTTTTATTGCAAGATAGTAATAATTCATTATACTGATACGCCATAACTTGTTTATCCTTCTTCAGTTGATAGACATACTGGTTTTTTCCAGTTTGGGGTTATTAAGAGTACAGCTACCATGGGGCTTCTGGCTGGTCAGTTGGGTAAGCATCTGACTCTTGATTTCTGCTCAGGTCATGATCCCATGGTGCGTGAGATTAAGCCCTACGTTGGGCTGCACACTGACAGTGCAGGGCCAGCCTTTAGTAATTTAGCCATTAATAAATAGATCTACATCTGTTATATGTCTATTGTATCTCATTGTGATTCTAATTTGCATTTCCCTGATAAATGATTTTGAAAAACCTTTGTATGTTTATTTGCATCGATCTGGTGAAGCGTCTTTTCCAGTCTTTTGAGTTGTTTTTATCATTGAGTTGTGTTTCTGAATATAAGCACTTTATCACATACGTGTTTTGCAAATACTTTTGCAAAATATTTGCAAAAGACAGACTGTTGCTTATCTTTTCATTTTTTCAATGTTTATGTATTTGTTTTTGAGAGAGAGCAAGAGCAAGTGGGGGAGGGACAAAGAAAGAGAGGGAAACAGAATCCCAAGCAGGCTCTGCCCTGCCAGCAGAGCCTGACATAGGGCTTAAACTCACGAACCCGCAAATTCACGAACCGTGAGATCATGACCTGAGTCAAAATCAAGAGGCTTATTAACTGACTGAGCCATCCAGTCATCCCTTGTCTGTTCATTTTCTTAACAGTTTCTTTAAAAGAGTGGGAATTTATAATTTTGGTAAAGTCCAGTTTATCCATCTTTTTCTTCTAAAAAAAATTTTTTTAACGTTTATTTTGGGAGAGAGACACAGAGCAGGAGTGGGGGAGGGGCAGAGAGAGGGGGAGATACAGAATCTGAAGCATGCTCTAGGCTCTGAGCTGTCAGCACAGCACAGAGCCATATGCAGGGCTTGAACCCACAAACTATAAGATCATGACCTGAGCCGAAGTCAGCCACTTAACCAACTGAGCCACCCAGGCGCCCCTATCAATTTTTTCTTTTATGATTTATGCTTTTTTGTTGTTATCTAAGAAACCTGTGCCTAGCCCAGAGTGAAAAGAATTTTTCTCCAAATGTTTTCTTCTGGAAGCTTTACAGTTCGATGTTTTACATCTAGGTCTATGATTCATTCTGAGTTAATTTTTTAAATATAGTATGAGGTAAGAGTCCAATTTTATTTTACATATGGATGTTCTCAAATTTTTAAGTTGTTGTATTTTTCACTTTTATCTCATAAAATTTGTTCTGGTTTTATTTCCTTGATGGCATGTACTATTACATCAATATATAATACCATATTTTCTTAAATTTTATTTGTAGTGATATTATTGCCATGCCTCTATTTTTTATTATGTGTTATATATATGTATGTGTGAGTGTGTGTGTATATGTATATATATGTATAGATGGATGTAAATAAACATACAAAGGCTTTTCAGAGTCATTTATCAGGGAAATGTGAATTAAAATCACCATGAAAAAAAATATATATATATATGAAAATAAATATATATATATTTAATTCTAGAGGTAGAATTGTTTAGTGTATTTCTGTGGTGGGCTGCTTTTCTTTTTCTTCCTTTAATGCCCATTTTGGAGGTCCAGGTTACCTCTGATTTGGTCTGCTTTTCTCTTTGACTGTGGTAAGAGCTCTCCTGAGTGATTCTCATCTGGTTAAAAGCAATTCTCAGGGTTTCACTAAGTACTTATTAATGCTTTAATTATGTCCCACTCTTCCACTTAAAAAGAATAATTATTCAGCCTATCTCAAATTCCTTTTAAAAGTTTAAATGATGTCATTTGTTAAGAGCTTTATTATTTATCCAGTTTTTATGTTTAAATTAGATTCTTATAGGTAAGCCTGCCTACCTGGTACAGATTTCTACATGTGGGCCTAATATTACTGATTTTGAGATTCACATGTAATTTTTTTTGTAGATAAGACACTTCTGAATATTTGAATATTTAAAATAGGAAATGTATGATTAACCATCAATGGTTAATTTTTATTGCTCTGAAGACAATTTCTCCGAAGTTTTGAAAGATAGGATAGGAGTTTGAGAGAGAATACTCAAATAGTGATCTAGGTTTCAACAGAGCCACGAGTAATATTTGGGCAAGGAGCACCAAAGAAACCCTTAGAAAAGTATTTCAAACTATGATGTGACTTACCAGTAAAATTTAGTAACAATATCCACCATTGGGAGTCTTCTTTAATTATTTTTGCTAGGTAAATATTAAGTTCAGTTCTTTTTCTTTTTTTTTTTTTTTAAGTTTATTTTTGAGAGAGAGCACGCACATGCGCATGAGTAGGACAAGGGCAGAGGGATGGAGAAAGAATCCCAAGCAGGCTACGCACTGTCCGTGCAGAGCCCCATGTGGGGTTCTATCCATGAGAGGCTTGAACTTAGGAACCATAAGGTCATGACCTGAGCCAAAATCAGGAGTCGGACACTTACCTGACTGAGCCACCCAAGTGCCCCTAACTCAGTTCTTTTTAGCTACTAATGGTGTTTATATGCAGTCAAATAAATGAAACATTAAAATAGTTTAATCTTCTAAAATAAAAAATCGTACATTTTAGTGCCTTGATGAAGCCCCCAGTTGCCCACTCATTTTACAGTCTAAATGTGTGTACTAAGTAGATTTGTTCTTTTCATTTTTTCCCAGATGTGGTGGTACAGTAGGAGCTATTCTGACATGTCCACTGGAAGTTGTAAAAACACGGCTGCAATCATCTTCTGTGACGCTTTACATCTCTGAAGTTCAGTTGAACACCATGGCTGGAGCCAGTGTCAACCGAGTAGTGTCTCCTGGACCTCTCCATTGCCTAAAGTGAGAGCACAGTATTCGTGAATCTGTTTTTTTTAGTCTGTTTACCTTAGTGATGCCCCTGTGTTTTGTTCATTTATATTCTGCCACATTTAAAAAGGTTTTTTACAAACTTAATAACAGAGTTACTCAATTATATTCGTCAGAAATGATCATCCCTAATGGAGAAGAATAGTTAGTTGGATAATATAAAATGTAATATTATTTCCAAATCATGTGTATTTGGAATATTTTTCTACATTTATCCTGGATTTATTTTCTAAAGCTATTATAGGTATTCTATTTTGGATTATTTATTTATCTTTGAAATGTGATAGTGTTAAATGCTAACTCTTTGTGTATGTGCTTTTAATTTTCCAAGTACTGACATACTGACACAAGTAAGTACATCCAATTAATGGCAGTCTGTGATTTTTCTATAACCTAAACATAACTGAGATTTAAAGCAGAATTCTGCTGATTTTAACAGACCGTTCACTGTTTGCTTGAAATTTTTTGGTGGTTTGAAAAAGATTTGTTTTTACGTTTTACCATACTTCATTATGTTGCAAATTAGATTTGAAATTTCAAAACTACTGAAATTAGGTTTTACGTGTTCAGACTTAGGTATGTAACTCGTATCTGCCTTATCAGGTCACTTGGGACATGATCTGTTTGAACTTAGTTCAGTAGTGTTTATTTTGTGGTAGCAAATAAACTCATACTGTGTGTTTACCGTGGTTACCAAAGGATTTCATCAGTCTTTTCTTTTTAAACTTACCTAAGTACGTGGATAGGTAGAATAAAATTGTACCTACCAATTAATGAAAGTTATAAATATCTGATGAGTAATAGTATTATCAATCCTGATTAGTAATATCTTGATTAAAAATAGAATATTTTATCTACTAATAATAGGTTATTTAAATATCATGATTTTGCCTTTATTACCATTGATTATCTCTCCTAAACTTCTTCCTTTGACCTTCGTAACAGTACTGTATTTTTTGTCTTCTTTTTCAGTGGTTTTGCTTTCTCTGATTTTCCTCAGCATTAGGAATCCGTCTCTGCTTCATTTTAATTTCTGTTTTTCAGGCCCTCTTATAAGAGCTAATTTAACATGTTTCACCTATCCTCAGTGTTGAGGTGACTTCCAAGTCTGCATTCTCTGCCTTAACATCTCTTTACTCTCATTCCCATTGTTTCCCTGTTTAGGCTCTGTCCCAGTCAGTCTGATTCATGGCTGCTTTTTTTTTCCTAACATCTTTATTTGAGGAATAATTCACATACCATAAAATTCACCCATTTTTTAATATATTGACAGAGTTGTGCAACTATCATCACCTTCTAAATTTTGAACGTTTTCATCATTCATCACCAAAAGAAAGCCTTATCTTGTTAGCAGTCACTTCTCATTTTCCCTCTCTTCTCTCCCCCTATCCTCTATCCCTAGGCAACTCCTAACCTACTTTCTGTCACTGTACATTTGCTTTATCTACTCATTAGTTGATAGACATTAGGTTGTATCCACTTTGGGGGTATTATGAATAGAGCTATTACAGACATACACATTTTTATTTTGGGGGGATATACTAGGAGTGGAATTGGTGGGTCATATGATGACTTTATGTTTCACATTTTGAGGAACTGTCACACAGTTTTCCAGAGTGGCTGTATCATTTTACATTCCCCCCACCAGTGAGTGAGATTTTCAATTTCTGCATTGTTTTACTGTCTTTTTTTATTAAAACCATCCTAGTGAGTGAAGTGTTTCATTGCTTCTTAACCAGCAACTTTAGGGATCCCCTGCTGGGCTCCCTTAGTTTCCTAGGTAGTTCATGGATGAACTTCAAGAGCTCAATAAATTACATGAAATTGTTTGCAAAATTGTGAGTGTTAGCAAATGTGTATTTTTTTAAAAGAACATTTACTACCTTCCTTAATTTCTCAAGGGGATTTATGATACAGAAAGGGCTAACAAGCATTTAATCTTGAAAATGTGCTCTATAATTTGTTATTTTTAACTCTGCTTCTGTCTAATCTAGTTTTATCAAAAGGGGTTCCATATCACCTGTGTCAGTCGTCTGAAGGCATGGTAAAATGCAAATTACTGAGCATTGTCCTATACCTATTGAATCAGAATACTTGGAGGGTGAGATCAGAGCAATTTGTGTGTTTTGGGGGGGTTTGTGGGTGGTTTTTTTAGTTGTTTTTTTTTTTTTTAATTTCAAGTTAGTTAACATATTGTGTAATAATGATTTCAGGAATAAAATTTAGTGATTCATCACTTATGTATAACACCCATGCTGAAATTGGCATTTTAAAAAACACTCCATCAGTAATCAATATTAAGATTTATCAAGTGCTTACTGGGAGCCAGGTGCTCTTTTAAGCACTTCATATATTAATTTACTTATTCCTCACAGTAACCCAAAAAAAGAGTACTGTTTTTCTTTGTTTACTGCTGCTGTAAATAAAGATAAAAGACATTACTTTATGTTCTTATAACTAGTCATTTACCAAAACTGGGCTTCATATTAAGAAGTCTGGCCCCATAATTCAGGCCTTTATTGAACCATTATGCTCAGCTGCCTTTTAAGAAATTATTCTTCTGTGTATAGGTGGTTGAGAACCACTGCCCTAGCCTATTAACTCTAAGTTAAAATAAGTTAAAATAGCTATTCTCTTTGTTTCTTCTCACTTTCAAAACTTAATACCTCACCCTCAGAAAGGCTTCCTCTTCCTTTCCCTGCTGGGCATATTAATCTAGCTTGTATAGCATTTGCTTATTAATATAGTCTGTTGAATGGTTTCAGTATAATTCTTTTTTCCACAACTGGTTATCAAATTTCTCAGTGGCAGGTTCCTTACCTTCTTTCTATCTACTTTGCTCAGTTTTTATACAGTAAGTATTCAATATAGTAAATGTTAAATGAATAGAGAGAGAAATGGTAACAGGCTAACCATTTTAGTACCCTAAAGGAGGTTAGGGTGACAAATTTTGACAGCATTTCACAGGAATGGTTGTATGAGATAATGTTGCAGTACTGAGAGAATTGTCTGATACCAAGAAAGGACCCCAAATACTAGATGGGGAGCTGCATTTCTAATTGGGAATTGAATTTGCTGGTAAAGATGGTAAAATGGAGGATATCGAAGATCATAGTAGCATGATCATATTAAAATAAATGTAGAAATTATACTGTAGTCTTTAAAAGTTTTAGGAAAGAATCTGATTGGAGTTCTTTTTACTATCATTTATCAGTCTGTGCTGTGTCAGGAAAAACAGATGTTCACAAGTAAGAAAAACTGACCAGAAAAGCACAACATCATAGTAGAAACGTATGGGTTTAAAAGTCTAAGTTTGCTATACAGATAAAGTACTAGACTTTGAAAGACATTTCCTTTCTAAATAACATTTTTCTCTTTCAGGGTGATCTTGGAAAAAGAGGGGCCTCGTTCCTTGTTCAGAGGATTAGGCCCCAATTTAGTGGGGGTGGCCCCTTCCAGGTAAAGAATTTTTTTAAGTTAAGCAAAATTGTGGCAGTCTTTCTTGTTTCAAGCTTAATGACAGAAGATGCTGAAGAGAAGTCAAGGTGGTAAGGATAAAGCACTAGGGTGTAAAGAACAGACATCTGTAACCATCCAAAAAGATGGGCAGTTTGCACCATGTGGAGGTCATTGGGAAGCAGTTTTTGTACCAAGTTTCAAAAGGCAAAAACCAAACTAAAGGAACCAGCAGTGAGAAGAATACCTAGAACTCTAAAACTAACCCTATTTTTTGGATTCGAGGACAAGCTAAACAGGTAGAATGGTTTCATTGCCTATTAAAGAAACCAAAAAGGCCTTAATACATTAGTCATTTTTCTCTGCGGTCCTTTTGTCTTAGACTTTCTTCTTCCATGAAAGAATACTGTAGAGTTCACATTCAGAATGAAAATGCAATCTAGCTCTCTGTATCCCATGTACTAAGTCCATGTCTTATTATTTATTGGGTTTCAGGTTTTTATGGGCTCTTTTCTCTCTTAAAAAACTATACTAAAAATTTTACCCTTACTGTAGAAATTTAAAAAAATGTATAGCATAAAGCTTGACATTCCATCTTAAACATATCACCTCTTGTGCTGTATGCCTTCCTGCAGACACTTACTCTTCTCTTTTTTTTTTAAATTTTTTTTTTTTTCAACGTTTATTTATTTTTGGGACAGAGAGAGACAGAGCATGAACGGGCGAGGGGCAGAGAGAGAGGGAGAAACAGAATCGGAAACAGGCTCCAGGCTCTGAGCCATCAGCCCAGAGCCCGACGCAGGGCTCGAACTCACGGACCGTGAGATCGTGACCTGGTTGAAGTCGGACGCTTAACCGACTGCGCCACCCAGGCGCCCCTACTCTTCTCTTTACAATAACTATTGTTAAAACAGTTTGGTGTATAGTCTTCTGTTAATTTTTCTGGCTTATCGTGTATGTAAAATGTATAATATGTATACTTATCACCATTTACATTAATTTTTTTCTTTTATAAATTTACTTAAATTCAAGTTGGTTAACATACAGTATAGTATTGGTTTCAGGAGTAGAACCCAGTGATTCATCACTTAGGTACAACACCCGGTACTCATCCCAACAAGTGCCCTCCTTTTTTTTTTTTTTAATTTTTTTTTGAGTATTTATTTTTGAGAGAGACAGAGACAGAATGTGAGTGGGTTAGGGGCAGAGAGAGATGGAGACACAGAATCCAAAGCAGGCTCTAGGCTCCAAGCTGTCAGCACAGAGCCCGACATGGGGCTCCAACTCACAAGCTGTGAGATCATGACCTAAGCCAGAGTCGGACGCTCAACCAGTTGAGCCACCCAGGTGCCCCAAGTGCCCTCCTTAATGCTCATCACGAGTCTAGCCCATCTCCCCCACCCACCTCCCCTCCAGCAACCCTCAGTTTGTTCTGCATTTAAGAGTCTCTTATGGTTTGCCTCCCTCTCTGTTTTTGTCTTATTTTTCTTTCCCTTCCTCTGTGTTCATCTATATTAATTTAATCGTATTAAAAGTAGTTCACGAAATTTGCCTTGAAGCTTTTTCCATTGGAAATCATGTAGGTTTTTTTTTTTTAATTGCATAGTATGGCTATTCTGTCATTAATAAAGTATTCCCTTACTGATAAAACTTTTAGATTTATCAGATTTCCACATTTTTTTCTGTTAAACAGTGGTTTTGTCAACATAGCTGTACTTTTATCTTTGAGTATCTAAGCAAGTGTATTTCTTTATGATATTTACTTAAAAGTTAAAATTTCTATATAAAAGAACATAGGCCTATTGTAAATTAATATTGTTCAACTGCCTTCTAAAAAGCTATCTCATATTTTTATTCTCAAGTAGTGAATTAGTTGCTCATTATCCATATACTGCTCATGTTGGCAACTATTCATGTCTTTTAATACTTGCTAAAGAGACCAAACGTGATTTTCACTGTTTTGATATACATTTGTTTAATTTTTGGTATAGTCACACCACCATTCTTATAATTATTTGCCATTTGTATATCACTTCCATGAATTACCTGTATATATTCTTTGCCTGTCTTCTCATTAAGAGGTCTTTTTTCTTTTTTCTTATTCATTTCTAGGAATGCATTGTATATACCTCTTCACAATTCATCATCATTAAATGTATTTTTTTTCTTACTCCTAAAGTAGAATGTTTTTGTTTTGTTTTTGAGAGAGAGAGCACAAGTGGGGGAGACAGGGAGAGAGGGCATCTTAGACTGGCTTGATCCCATGACTCTGGGATCATGACCTGAGCTAAAATCATGAGTCAGACGCTCAACTGATGGAGCCACCCAGGCACCTCAGCATGTTTCATTTTAAATTATATTAATTTCCATTTTTCTTCAGCACATTTAAAAAGGCACAACAGTGAGACTCTGGCTCTTGTACTTGTTTGCATATTATGTTCCTTATTAGACAGATAATCAGGATTGTTGGGAAATAATAGGATATTTGATGCAGCAAGCAGGTAATTCAGAGCCTGGAAAGCAAAACAATGAGGAAGTAGTTGAGATGCATAAAGTCACAGTCAATAAGTTAATGGGAAATATTTACAGATTTAATGAAATGTTTACAAACATTAAAAAATATGACATGATAGGGCTGATTTCTTTGGAATTGTGTCTATTTAAGGATACTGTGAACTACTCTGTGTATAATGTAGATTAGAATATACCACAGTATCTCAAATTTGTTTAATATATTTTGATTAATTGGGTCAGTTCTACAACCCTCTCCTCACTTAAAAAATGTTATATATATATGATGTATCTTAATAGTTTATATTAATATAAACTAATTATATTAATCACATATTTAACAATATTTTTTTAAGTGCTCATGCCATATTTACTTAACTCAAGTGTCTTTAATTAAGCTTTACCATTACATAAGCCTTCCAGCCTTACGTGTTTTCCCAATATCAAAATCTTCTACAACTACTTTTTATTTCAGTTGCTGTGAAAGTATTGGGGCTGGGTAGTGAGTGTCTTTTTGTTAGAGGATGATTTGCATTTGATTAACTTTACATCAAAGTTTGTCTTTTTCTTTCTTTCTTTTTTTTTTTTTAATTTTATTTTGAGAGAGAGAGAGCATGCAAGTGGGGGAGGGACAGAGAGAATCCCAAGCAGGCTCTGTACCACTGGTATGGAGCCTGATGTGGGGCTCGAACCCATGGACTGAGATCATGACCTGAGCCGAAACCAAGAGTTGGACACTTAACCAACTGAGCCACCAGGCGCCCCAGAAGTTTGTCTTTTTCTTAATGAGTCATTGTAAGAAGTACTTCAGGATCTTTACGGAAAAAATACAGAAATTATAGAAATAATATAGAAATTAACCTGAGGTTATGTGAGACTTGGCTAAGACTTTGTTTTTAGATTTCTCTAAAATTATAAAGATTAATTTACTTGTCATTTAAATCTTATGAATTTAAGCAACATGCTTGTTGATAAAATTTAAATCTTTATTTTAGAGCAATATACTTTGCTGCTTATTCAAACTGCAAGGAAAAGTTGAATGATATATTTGATCCGGATTCTACCCAGGTACACATGATTTCTGCTGCAATGGCAGGTATGAATATCTAATATTAAAAGGCAAAAAAGTTTCCAAAAGCTAGAGACTTAATACTGAATTACGATGAATTTACATTGTACATTTGTACTTTTAAGACAATGTTCTCTTCATTGATTAGCATCTACAAGCATAATTCTTAAATTTATTAGTATATAGTAAATTTCATCAGGAGGTATACGTAAAATCTGATACCAGTTGGCATTTTTGTAATTAGGTTTGTGATAGCATACAGGTAATATAATATTTACATTGTCTTGTGTAGTCCACTATATATTTAGTGATCATTTTTAACAGTTTAAAGAATCCAACCATAATTACATATAAATAAGTTATGGAGCTGTAATTTACTCTTCTCTCCTCAATTTCTGTTAGTGCCTTTTCCCTTTTTGCTGCATGTTTTGGCTTCTGTCTGAAATGTGCCGGCAGTTCTTGGTAAAGTATTCATTTTGTCCTGTGCTCAAATGCTGAAGTTTTTGTGATGTATTATTGATAACTAAGAGTCACTAATTTATGTATTTTGAAATATATGTTTAGCACTCCATATAAATCACACTAGATAGCACTTGAAATTTAGGCAACGGCTATGTGTACATGCCTGCTGTAGAAATGTTTTCCAGGGACTCTTCTATCATTATTATTGGGTATATATGATTCTGAATCAAAGCAGCTAGTTCTGGGCCTCTGCACTGCCTTAAAGATAAACTAGGAGATTGATTTGACTAGTCTGGTTTTGGAATCATTTGTTGCAATGCGTGTTAGACAAAGCCACGACCTTTGTTTGGTTCATTCTCTGCAGTTTTCTGAGATTCATTGCGTATTTAACCATACCTCATGTTTCCAAATTATACTATGACTTTATTAAGCAGATTATGACTACTTTCATCAACTGTTGAGCAGTAAATGGAGTGTCAATTACGTGTTTAATGAGTGCTTTAAACTGTTAACCATTTTCTGTTTAGAAATAAATTGGATCAATTTGAACCACATACTTTAACAAACTAAGTGTAAGTTGGAGATAACTAATTTCTGAAAGGTCAATAGCCGTAATAATCTACCATATACTTTACAATTATTCTCAAGTCTTTTTATACTCGGTAATTGTTGACTGACTTGTTGAAGTTTTAAAGCTGGAAGGAAAAACCTTAGAGGTCAAGGTAGTAAACTACTCTTATTTACCCATGAGGAGAGATCTTGGGCAAGTTACACAGTTTGTATGAACCTCTCTTACCTTATCCTAGGGATGTAGATTGCGCTACAAAGATTTGGATTTTGAGAATTAGTTCTTTAATACCATAGAGATCATCTAGTTACAACCAGAATTTTTTTTAATGTACTTTTTTATAGATGTTGAATATGAATAGAAATGATTTTCCCTCTACAAATTTGAGTGGTATAAGGTAAAAGTTAGTGGCTAATTTCAAATTATATAACCACTGTATTAGGATCTTTAAGAATGTATTTCTGGATTACCAGTGTTTATGTTTTTGTTTTTTAAACCCAGAAAATTATTAAAGAAATGTTAATCTTTCTTTTTTTTGTTTTGTTTTGGAAGACTTGAAGTCAAGAAAGTAGATGAGTGGTCATTTTTATTTGAGGATAGTTGTTATATATTCAGTGGTGCAAATTTAGGGTTTCAGAATATCTTGATTCCCAATGGAACATCTTTTTTCATTAGGATAGCTCATCAGAATTTATTACTATTTTTGTATCATGTTGCAAAGAATTTCAGTGGAATTGTCATTTTGTACTTTTTTCTCAAATGTGTACAAATGTCAACTCATAGTTTTATATCTATACGTTGATATGATTTTCCAACTTGAATTCCTTGAGTTTTTGTAAATTGATGGTCCTATCGTTCAGAGATTATTACACTATATACTTATTGTGTAATTTGCAAATACTTCTTCCATTTGTTTACAGTTACATTTTTCTGAGAATTGTGCTTTCAGAGCTTCCTCGCACTATTCATGAGCATTAACACTTAGCTTCGCAGTTTTTATACATAACTACATGGTTGGTGAAACTGAATGGTCCCTGTGCAGACTCATTAAGGGAGCCTTTTGCCCCCTTCATTCTTGAAATAATCTAGACCAGATTGCTCTGGTTTTTCCTCAGCATTACTTTTAGAAGTCTTCTAAATATGAATTGGGGGTACAAAGTGCTTAGAGGCAGTCATGTGAAAAATTGTTTTTTAACTGGCTATTAAAAAAAATGCTAACCTTGTCATGTTAGTATCAAAAAGTGCATTAAAATAGACTGTAATGATATTGCCTGCAAGATTTTGCCACATCAAACAAAACATTAAGGATTTACTAGTAGACCTTGTATGTAATTTTTATTCCAGGTAGCCTGTTGATTTTGTATTTTATCCTCATGAACTCAAGTGTTCAGATAGTAAAACTTTTTTCTCAAAATGACAGTTAATTTAAGGTGGATCTTATTCTGGCTTTAGTGTTTCAAGAGAAGACTATAGGAATTTATAAACCTAAATCTGGAGGTATAAATTAAAAAATTATTTCCAATTGGAAGGTTATTTAATCAAATTAAGTATTGTTGAGTCTTTATGTTTTACCTGTTTTTTTTCCCTTCCCTACATGTAACCTTTATCAGATTGAGAGTATTTATTTCGTTGAGGTTATTTGTATGTTTTTGTTTAAATGAACTTGCTTATCTAACTATGCATATCCCTAGACACAAATATGCATACAAAAAACAGTATTGTTTCTTTATAGTGATTCCTAATTTTCAAAAGTTTTTATCTGGAATATATATGCTTTTCTATACAACATTACAGATTTAAATGAAAAGAATTCTGATTTTTATTGGATTAGATATTCAAACATTATCACTATATTTTTAAAATACTAGTAATATAATCATTTGTCATTTATAGACTACCTTATGGGTCTTATTTGCTTTTATTTAGCATTCACTGTTATTTTTCAAGATACATCTTTCTGTCTGACTTAGTTTATTATTAAAGATTAAGTTTTACTCATTACAAAGAAATTTTGTCTTGCCTATATAAAATATATTTTTTAATATTTTTCCATGGCAGTTTATTCAGCCAAATGGATATTTAGACAGATGTTTTGTGTGTTTGTATGTAAACATTCTTCCTGTTTTTTGTTTTGTAGAACACAAGAAATTAAATATAAAATAATCCAAAATATTCCATAAAAATGGATGTGCAATATTATTGGCCATAGTGCAAAGGTGAAAGGTATTATTCTAGCAACATATGCTTTATTTTATTTTAAAAAATTATAAATTATTACAAAATGTTACTTGAATATTCTGGGTTCTTTTTTAAGATTTACTAAGCAAAAAGGATTTACTAAGTAAGCTGATGGTTAAAGTATAGAAAATTGTGATTTCACCTCTGATGGTAGATAACTATGATTAGAAAATGGGATATGATAATCCCTTCTAAATATTTTCTTAGATTCCCCATTGACAAGGTTAGCATTTTTTTTCTTTAAGGCAAAATTCATCTTTTAGGTAAGTATTTGGACTCTGAAACTGCTGCAGATGGCAGAATTTTCAGTACTCGGTGCATTTTTTTAAAAAAATTTATGGCCCATTCTGATATTCCTTTTTGTTTTTTAACTTAAAATTTTCAAAAAAGTTAGATCTCACAGTAAATATTTCTGAAATCCTTCCAATGGGATTCATTTTGTACACATGTTTCTGATGAGGTCACTGCTTGTTGTTATGATACAGAAAAGCCTGTGTCTATTTTAGGCATTTACTGTACATTTCTCCCGAGAAAAGAGTGAGATCGTGTCATCTCATGCTCCCCATCCGCAGGTCACTTCCTGTAGAAATATGGACTAACTTAAACCTCGTGAGTACTGATCTGAGCATCTCTTGCAGCCTCTAGTTTTAAGAAACACACCCTGGGAATTTATGATAGCTATGGAATTAATAGAAGGCGGGAAGAACTTTTATTTCCTGAATTTGTGTGTGCGTTCTGAGTATTTTATAAAACTTTAATTCTGATCCCTTTATACTATTCCTTCTAGAAGGAAGAATGGGGTAATTTTTCAGTCATCTTGTAATAAAAGCCTGGGGTCTTCAGCTTGGCCATAATAGCCTTGACCTCCAAAGAATTTGATGACAGTATTTAAGATAAACATAGTTGTAAAGGTATACCATCCTACAGCTTTCAGGAAAAATAATAGTTCTCTTTGCTTAGCATAACATATTTTAAAAGTCTAATACAGTGCTCTCTATTCTCTTGTCTGTTGATACTTACTAGCTTTCTACTTCCTTGCAAAAATAATCTATCTACATTACTTTCCAATAAATGCAGGTTAAGAATATGTGGGATCTAAGCTGTTTTAGTTTTAATTGGGTTTTTTTTTCTTATAATTTTAATGTATTTTTCTTAGAAGGTTAGGTGGGCTTTGTTCTTACAGAACTTGATGAAATAAAAAGTACAGAAAATGCAATACTACAGGTATCACTCACTTAATGAAATAGACATTTTCAGCAAGTTTCCTATAAGCAGGATTTCTCTTAATCTGGTTTACATTATCAAATGGAGTGTTAGATGAAGCAGAACTCTAAAAGTTGCATTTTGAAAATTTTAAACATTTTTCTAATAACATTCTAACTGTACTACTGTACATACTAACTATAACAGTATGGCCATTACATTGCCACTTTGCTTTAACGGACTAGAGCAATATTAATTCTTATTATCTTACAAGTAGATCCTTCAGATACCTCTTAATGTTTAACAGGTACTCAGAATATTAATATGAACTAGCATATTACCAAAATTTCACAAAATTTAAATGCCAAAATAAAAAGCTACAGTAAATATCTAAACTTCAGGGATTATTCCCAGTACCTTTGTCTTAGAAGTAGGAAGATCTGTTTAGCTTTGGCTGTTGGCGAACTTCAAATTGCCCTACCATGTATAATTCTAAGTTGGTGACAGATTTTTGTTTCTTCCCACTTCTTTCATTTCTTGAATTAATAGACTATGTTTTTATAGATTTAATTAGCCTAATATCTAGTTAGTTTAATAAAGTGTGGTTAAGAGAATGTAATAGCATCAAATTCCAGGACTAGAATTTTAACTATGGTAAGGCCAATAGCTAAAAAGCTGTGCATTATGCCTAGATTCTGTCTAATGGTTCGCCAGCATTTAGGCTAGTGTCTTTATTAAGATCTGGCTTTTTACTGGGGGACTTGAGCCAGAACAACTCTAGTTAAAGCACAAGTTACTGATAGTAGCAGTTATAGAGAGATAAGATGGCAGCACTCTCTTAACCTGAATTTTAATGTGTCCTGTTCTACAGATCAATTTGTATCTGGAAATGAATTTTAGTTAAGTGAGAAATACCTGTTGTTTGCACCCTATCATTGTTCATTAATGTGTACAGAATAATTTAAAATTTTATTCACTGATATTTAAAAATTAATTTCTAGTAATAATTAAATGCAACATTTTAAAGTTTACATATGGTATTTTTTTCAGCTTTTAATTGAGGAATTTTGTGACTTGGGAGAGTATCAAGTTTGGGTACTAAGTTTATTTTTTAAAATACAACTAATATTAAAAAAACTTTGCTCATATTTACAAATAAAGTATAATAGATTGAATGAGATTTTTACCTAGACAGGTAAAAGTTCGGCATAAGGATTCCCAGTTTTAGGCTTTCAAAATTTAATGAAAAGCAAATATTTTTTCTTAATTTCCACAGGATAATTAATAAAGGCTATTGTGAATAATGCAGAATATTTTGTTGCCTTGTGCAGCTTTGTGGGCTTTTACTAATAAACCCCCTAATATTGCTATACAGATATTTAGCTAATAATAACTATTTAAGTTAAAAAACAAAGAATCATCAATTTAGGGGTATGGCCAGAATACTGTCAGGTGCACATTTACCTTAAAATATAATTTGAATGTATTAAGTTTGAGTTTTTCACTTAGGAAAATGAGAGTCAAGAAAAGAAAAAAAAATTCTTTTAACTTTATTCTCCTTTAAGCTGGAACATGCAAGAAAAATCTTTCCAGAATATTTAAACTGATCTAACAGGGTCATATTTTTCTTCTCTTTTCCTTTTCTAAGAATTTATATATGAAAAGAAACTCTTATTTATTAAAAATGCTCCTGACAGCTGGTCCAACACTTTAAATTTTTATTATTTTAATACTGGCACATAGAAAATTGTTTCCATACTAGTTTTATACATATGTATGCAGTATTAAAAGCACTAAAGAGAAATGGAGACTATAGAACTATTAGAAAATTGGGCAAGTTATCAAACCAAATTTCTATTCCATTTATCATGTTTTATAAATAGATTCAATTTTAAGCATCTTTTTGTGAGACATCTGGCTATTTCTACGGTGTTAAAACAGTGGATTAAGGGAATAACGTTTGAGTTAGCTAACTGTCTGACATTATGGTAGGGAAAAGAACCTATGAGACTAAATACTACTTTGTACAATTTAGTAAAATTATTTTGCATTTTAGGTATACCCATAGTAACTTCAAAAGCCAAGGAAGGATAATGATTGGTTCTGCAGTATATGTTAACTTAGAAACCAAAATTATTTTTAAGTACACCCCAGCATTTTTCTTTCTGAATTCACTTTACTCACATTAAATGTGCTGGTTATATTCCACCTTTCTAAAAGCTAGTTGATAGTATTAAAACAGTTAAGATCCTTAGACATTTCTGCATGTAAGTTTCACTGGATTTAAAGGCCAGTTGAATAAATCTAGCTTGATAGAAGTAGTTCTGTGAGGTTTCTGTAGTGATCTTCAGTGTTCACAAGCAATAGATCAAAGCCCTGTTTTATAAAGATGAAGCAATCTTCATAAATTCCCGTTTTCAAGATGACATTTCATGGGCTATTTTTCAGTAACAGTAGGAAGATAGCAAGTAAAAGATATGCAGTAGTCTAGAGACCCTGTTCCAGAAATGTTAATTTACTAACTAGAATGAGCCATCTTAGGTGACCACCCTCTGCACTGATAACATATAGTACTTAAGTTTTAAAGTAAGTTAGAACTACCTTCTACTCTGAGTTTCTCTCTTAAGTGTCTATAAGTGAGAGGGAAGTTTCAGTTTGTTACTTTTCGAACTTTTGAGTTTTTGTATGTGTTTAAGTGGATGAAAAATAGATCTTTTCCTATTAACCCTAACAGAAACCTTACTTCTGTGATACCATTATTTTAACAGTATTAGTAAGCATATGTTTATATAAAGCATTCATAAGGGCAAACAACAGTCCTGTTATACAGCCCCATTAAGATCATATATAGTAAATGCTGGCCTTTAGGTAGAATCCACTTTTAAGATAGGGAATTGTGATTTAAGGATGTCAAGTAGCTGTTGTAGAGCTTGCATGCTAAAAAGCCCTAGAATATACCAAATTTCTATTAGGTTTGTCTGTAAACATGGGGTTTTAAATTTAGCGTAGAGTGTAGATGGGTACCCCAGAGAATATTCTGAATATGGTGGGAGAGGAATTTATATATAATCAGAATTTGCTCTTAAAAGAATTGTTTAGTTACGGTCAGAATTTGAGAATGTAGATTGGAAATAAACTACAAACGTTCATGATTATATGGGTTTGTAAAATAAAAGTGTAAAGTATACATCACTTAATAGTTTAAATATTTATTATGCATTTTCTTTAATATAGATTTATATACTATTTAAAACCTTTAACTTAATAGTTCTTCATTTTTACCAGAGTTCATTTTAAACATGTTTGTTTAGGTTTTACTGCAATCACAGCGACCAACCCCATTTGGCTTGTAAAGACTCGGTTACAGCTCGATGCAAGGTATGTTAATTCATTAAAACAAAATTAAAGTTGGTTTCAACTAATTTTTTCCTATAAATTTATATGTGAGATTTCAGTGCCATGTATCTTAACTATGTTTTTCCCTTTTTTGGCTGCTGAATTTGTTTTTTTGTTTGGTTTTTGAAACTTGGGTCTGCCATCAGAAGCAAAAGAGATATATATAATAGTTGGCAATATGACACCTGCTAAGGAAGAATGTAGATTATGTGTTTCTATTTATGTATTTATTTATTTGCTTGCTTGCTTATTTCCTTATTATTTTATTTCTTGAGAGTGCACCTGAGAGCAGGAGAGAGGCAGAGGGAGAGAGAGAATCTTAAGCAGGCTCCACGCCTAACACAGGGTTTGATCTCACGACCCTGAGATCATGACCTAGCTGAAATCAAGAGTCAGGAGCTCAACTAACTGAGCCACCCAGGTGCCCCTATGTGTTGTGTTTTTAAATAAAAAAAAAGGAAAAGAATATATATTAATCTAGGCCAAGCAGTGATAGTTTCACTACATGAATGATTATAATCAACCACCCAACAGTTAACCGACAGGATCAACTGGTCTAGACTGAATCTTTGAGGAGCATTGCTCAAATTTAGTAGCCTTATGTACAGAGAGGCCTGGCATGGGATTTAGCTCTCATATATTCATAGACTTGATCTGTTACCACTGACCACTTTATGGTAGCACAGTTCATTCATTTGATCTATGTTGAGCAGATACTGCTGTGTTCTAGGGATATACCAAGAGACATTGGGGACCAACGTTAGGTGGAATAGTTAGGGAATGTTGTTTTGAGCCCATTTTTAAGCAGAGGCAGTGGTCTGTGCAAACCTCATAGGTCTTGAGGTTAGGGCCTCTGGTGTGTTCTGGGAACTGAGCAAAGGCCAGAAGCAGTGCAGTTTAGAGTCTTGCCATGTCAATTCCTGTTGGTCTTTCGTATGGACGATAAGAAAAATAATACTTTTATGGAGAGATGATCCTGTTGCTGTATTATAATAATAATAATGAGACTTTTGAAACTTTCAGCCTTTCTGAAGTAGACTATAACAAATTTCCACCTTTTTTACATTTTATGGCATAGGAAAGTAGTGTTATATCTCATAGACTATAAATAAAACTGATCTGAGAAATCATTAATAATTATGCCTGCTTAAATATCTGTTGTTTACATTTTATCATGTTGAACTGTATGCTATTTGGAGACTTGAAATAGCTCTAATTCTTGTTTCATCTGAATAATTTTTAATGAAATCCTAAATGGTGAAGCAAAACTCAAAGTTTATTTCTTTTTTTTTTTAATGTTTATTTATTTTTGAGACAGAGAGAGAGTGAGAGTGGGGGAGGGGCAGAGAGAGAGGGAGACACAGCATCCGAAACAGGCTCCAGGCTCTGAGCTGTCAGCACAGAGCCCGATGCAGGGCTCGAACCCACAAACTGTGAGATAATGACCTGAGCCGAAGTCGGACGCTTAACCGACTGAGCCACCCAGGCGCCCCTCAAAGTTTATTTCTTAAAGCTAAGAGATCTGAAAAGTAGTGGCAGCTAAAACAACCCAAAGGTTAAAGAAATGTGAGATGCCGGTCCATATTATACTACTGTAAGCTACCAGGGGTATACTGCAGGATGTTATAAGGTGGATCTGTAGGGGGTCCTGAGAAAAGTATGGCTTAAAACTCTTTATTATTTTTTTCACTTCTAATTTTAATGCACAACAGCACAAGTTCTTAGGCTTGGGAGTGGTGGGGAATGGGGTGGGTTTGGGGTAATAGTGAAAGGCTGGTTTGAGGATGCTCATTTATAACTGAGATCAAGAACAGGGCCGATGTGTTTGTATATTACCCTTTGGACTTGTAGCATTTTAACTTCTTGTGAAGAAGTCTCTGATGGCAGAAACTGATTACAATTGGTTGTATGGATCACTCAACTGAGAAAGTATTCATACAGTGTCATTAGTTGAGGACAGTCATTAGCTCTAAACAATAATTAGTTCATAAAACTGGAGGAATCTGTAGGTTATCAGGTGGGTATCTTAATTGTGTTTTTATTTTATGTCTGAAACAGGCTGTATTAATTTATAAATAGGTAAATTTTCTATTTTTTTCCCTGTAGGTAGCATTTAAACCCATTTCTTATAGGTAAGGTTTTATTGGGAGAATCATAGTATAAAGTAATATTTTTACAAACTCAAAATTGTATATGTGTAAGAGTAAATGCTGTGCCATTAAGTAGCACTAAGGAAGTTTTATTGGACACAGTACTCAATAACTACTTGATAACTATAGAGATCCTCATTCACTTTTCACCATGATACTGGCTGTTGCCTTAAAAGGATCATAGGAAATTTGACTTTAATTCACATAGTCATTTTTAGGGAAGAACTGAGTGGGTTTGGAAGAATCCCTCAGACGTACAGATACTAGATTAATTGTACTTGCTTTATGATACACTGTCATCACTGGTGTCTCAATCACTCTTTTATGTTATTAAGTCCGAAGAAATCTTCTCATTTGAACTGGATTCAATGTGATGTGATGGTTTGTTTTATCTTGAGCTGCAGTCACAGCGTATTGGGACTAAAGGATTTTGTTGCTTATCCCTACAATACAAACTTCAATGAGCACATGAAACTGAAGATTGAATATACTGTATTTTACATTTGTAAAAGAAAGTATTTACATGTTACCCATCTAATATGACAAAGTTCAGGCAGAAGAATAGGAAATCTAAAATGAATGTTTTAGGGGTGCCTGGGTGGCTCAGTGGGTTAAGCGTCCGACTTCGGCTCAGGTCATGATCTCGTGGTTTGTGAGTTCAAGCCCCACGTCAGGCTCTGTGCTGATGTCTCCGAGCCTGGAGCCTGTTTCAGATTCTGTGTCTCCCTCTCTCTCTGACCCTCCCCCGTTCATGCTCTGTCTCTCTCTGTCTCAAAAATAAATAAACGTTAAAAAAAATTAAAAATAAATAAATAAATAAAATGAATGTTTTAAAATTTTGGTTTCACTTCTTCATGAGTTACAGGGGATCATTCTGTACTGGAATGGCAGATTTCGTCTATACTTTATTTACCTTATTTAAAAACCTATACTACTTTATTGATAAGATTTTTCCTTTTTGCTTTTCAGGAACCGTGGGGAAAAACGAATGGGCGCTTTTGAATGTATTCGTAAAGTGTATCAGACAGATGGACTTAAAGGATTTTATAGGGGCATGTCTGCTTCATATGCTGGCATATCAGAGACTGTTATCCATTTTGTTATTTATGAAAGTATTAAGCAAAAACTACTGGAGTATAAGATTGCTTCTACAATGGAAAATGATGAAGAGTCTGTAAAAGAAGCATCAGATTTTGTGGGAATGATGCTAGCTGCTGCCACCTCAAAAACTTGTGCCACAACTATAGCCTATCCACATGGTAAGAGGTGTTTGAGTTTATAGGAGTAAAATTCTATTAATTTAGAAATTTTCCTGTGTCAGCCAATGGCCCACTTATTAGCACATTTATAATTTTATTGAATTCCAGTAAAACAATATATGGTTTCCTAGGAGTTCATCATAATGGGATTAAATCTGTAAGTAACGGTTTTAATTGGTCAGTATATATTATAGTAGCATGGTGGTGATTTAGCATGGGCTTTGGATAGTCACGTTTCAGCCCAGAGTCTGTCAGATTATAGCCAGGTGACTTTTGGGAAAGTTTCTTTAAATTAAAAAAAACTATGGATACGGTTATGGTATGCTAGATACTTTATATACATTAGTGCTAATCTACAAGAAAATTTGTGTGAAGTACTTAACCGTCTCTGTTGAAGTCTAAGCATGCTAATACATACCCAGAATTTGTCTTTATTTTCAAATGGGAAACAAGAAATGTTAAGATTGAGTTGTCCAAGGTCACACAGCTTACTCAGATCACATACCTTTTTTAGTGGAGGAGCCCAAATTTGAAATTGGGTCTGTAATCCCAAAGGCCAGCCTATTTTACATTATTTCATGTTGGCAAATAAGTATATATGATTTATTTCTCTCTGAAGTTTTACAGTATTAGCGTATTTCATTAATAGATAACAAACTTAAGAATTCGTCTTGCGATGTGCTGAGGGTTTGGGGTTTTTTTTGTAATTTTTATTGTTTTGTTTAAAGGTAGCCTTTGATTTTGTTGTTTGGGGTTTGTTTTGCTTCAGGATTATTTTTGTTCATTTATTTTTGAGAGAGAGAGAGATTGAGCTTGAGCTTGAGCAAGGGAGGGGCAGAGAGAGAGAGGGAGACACAGAATCCAAAGCAGGCTCTAGGCTCTGAGCTGTCAGAACGCATGAGCTATGAGATCATGACCTGAGCTGAAGTAGGACGCTTAACCGACTGAGCCACCCAGGTGCCCTTTTAAGGTGTTATTTTTTAAGTAATCTCTGCATCCAGTATGGGGCTGGAACTCACAACCCCAAGATCAAGAATTGGCATGCTCCACTGACTGACCCAGCCTGGCACCCCCGCTTTGGCATTTTAATCTAAATGCTTCACTCTTGTTACACTGATGAGCATTTAGCTTCACCCTTGTGAAGCTAAAGCCCTGTAATTAAAGCTGTATCAAGATAAATGAAACAGGGCTATGAGTAAAATGAGAATTTTACTCATAAGATGTAATTTACGAGTAAAACCAAGTCTAACCAATTTGCACTGTGAAGTTCTCTCAGTTTCCTGAGGGAAGTTCCTAACTTCTTTCTTTAAGAGAAGTCAAAAGAGGACAGTATCAGCATTGCTTAGGTTCTGGCTCCTATAGGATGCCTAGAACCATGGCCTGCTAAGGTGAGAGACAGAATTTTAGAATTGTAAGCACCCTGTTCCTTCCAGTGAGATGATGTCACTACAAGAAGAGGTAATTTATAAATAGTATTTTGGAGTGGAATATGTAAATGGCATTAATTTTTAAGAGAGGACACAAGAGATTTCAGATACTCACATTTGCAGTGAAAATGTCTCTAGGCCATTTTCCTCAGGCCCATCAGGAAGTGTGTTGGAAAAACAGACTCTTCAGTAGAGAGCTCTGAATTCTTGTCCCAGCCTCTCAACTGACTAAAACCTCTCAGCAGTCCCGATTCCTCATCTTTCAAAACTAAGAAATACGGACTAACTATACGTAATCTTTTAGATTTCTTAGAGCTCTCAAACTTTATAATTTTTGCTTAGTTGCTTCTCAGATGGAACCTTTCAGCTGATTGGCTAGTATTTTGAACATATCCAGCCTCATGAACATGAAATTTCATGTTGGCATTTGTGGACCAAATAGATTAGTTGTGGTGAATAGATTAGTTGTTCTATTTTTTCACTGTAGGGTCCACTTAAAATCTTTTCTGTCACTATATCTTTGTGTATTCGTCCTTGATACCACCTACATTCCTTTTCCTGTCTCTTTACCTTTTTCTTACAAAATCTATTCTCCCCTTTGTCTATATTAGTATACAACTGATACTTTTGTTTTATTCTTTTACCATTAAGGAACCTGTTATAATTACCACTTACTACTAGTGATTTTAGCCAGCTGACTTAGAAGTTTGGTGTTACTGGGGCGCCTGGGTGGCTCAGTTGATTGGGCGTCCGACTTGGGCTCAGGTCATCATCTCACGGTCTGTGAGTTTGAGCCCCGCGTCAGGCTCTGTGCTGACAGCTCAGAGCCTGGAGCCTGCTTCGGGCTCTGTGTCTCCTTCTCTCTCTGCCTCTCTGCCTCTTACGCTCTGTCTCTGTCTCTCTCAAAAATAAATAACATTAAAAAAAAATTTTTTTTTAAATAAAAAAAGTTTGGTGTTACTCTAATATAACCAGTTTCAATCAGTTATGCATTAAAAATCACTCCTTATCCGAAGTGTACACTTAAAAGACTGGTAAATGGGATATACTCAGCATTAGGAGGGTATAAAGATATCACTAATGTTTTAAAATGACTTTTTCTCCCCTAAACAGAAGTCGTAAGAACAAGACTACGTGAAGAGGGAACAAAATATAGATCTTTTTTTCAGACACTGTCTTTGGTTGTTCAAGAAGAAGGTTATGGGTCTCTTTACCGTGGTCTAACAACTCATCTGGTGAGACAGATTCCAAACACAGCCATTATGATGGCCACCTATGAATTAGTGGTCTACCTTCTCAATGGATAGCAACTTCAGGATGCTGTATACTATGAAGAGGGAAGACCAAAAGATGACAGTGGACCATGCAGTATCGAAGCCAGCATGGTGGACAGAAGAAAATAGTTTGGGAACATGTAACTATGCCTAAGGGAAAGTTTGGTTGTAGGAATTAAAGTAATCATAATAACCGCATTACTTGGTCTTTTCAGTAATGTGAAAAAAACCTAGGCTGCCCAAGAAAAAGCCTTTAGAAGCACTACTTCCTCCAAATTGCCATTTTCTCTACCATGTCCATGGGACATAGTTGCATTTTGTTGATTTATGGCACAATATAGTGTTTATTCCATGAGCACTTTTCAGTCTTCTAATAAAGCCATCCATAATTATATAAATATTGTAACTATCCAAAGATAGTATTGACAGTCCTAAATGTCTTACCTCTGGCTTTTGTGTAATTTCTGTAAAATTGTAAAATAACAATAAGTGAGATCCTTAGTATTGTTTTCACATTTCCTTGAGAGGATCTGGAGTATTTTAAAGTTAATTATTTGGCATTATTCATCACTAGTTTTGACAGCTAATGAAATAGTATCTAAATATCTTGTGTATTTTTAGCTTTAAAATGTTTTGGTTTCCACTGCTAACAGGAACATGATGTTTAGCAAAATGTGGACGCTTAAATTGTTTGTTAACATATCAAACTCAGTGGTAATAGTTTGGGACAGAAAAAACCAGTAAAATGTTGATTCTTGGCCATTTCAATAACTTGAGCGTGTCCTCCGATCTTTTCTATCTTTATGATACGTGAATGACTTCAGTTGTCTTTTCAGTGGTTTATTAGTTATGGACTTAAATTATCATCTATCATACCTAGGTATTATTTTCTTAAAGTGGAAAAAATTTACCACTTCTGAATCTTTCTCCATTAGGAATTTGAACCTTTGAATTATTTCCAGATGATCAATATAAATTGCATTTATTTTGTAGAGAAAATGGTAATTTTCAGCTTTGCTGTAATAGGTTTTTTTTTTTTTTTTTTTTAAGGTGGCATTATAAATATCTGGGGCAGTATAAACATCGAAGAGGGGCCCTTTGCCATCTGATCGAACAGGTGGTGATCCTAATTGACTTACAATTTTGTAAATGAACAAACTGCTTTTGACAAGAAATGTATGCTATCCTAATTTCTTGAATGGCAAATCATAGAAAGATTCAAGTTAATTCAGATTCAGTGTGCTAACAGGATATAGCTTTTACATTTTGCTGTTGAGTTCACCTGTACCTCTTAATACTTAAATGTATTATATGTATGGCCTTTATGAAGATGTTTGCTATAATTCTGTTAAGAGACTTTGCTAATGGATGTTGCTATACTGGTGTATAAAACATCTACAATTAAACTCCAGTGTGGTACTCATTTCAGTATAGATGAACTGTACATTTTGTGCAATGGCTTTATCTTAAGAATGACTCTTTGTGAATGCACTTTGTGGCCTTTTTTGGGGGGGTGGTGGTGGGGTGAGAGTAACAGAGAATTCCACTTTAGGATTATTTTTTTTTAACCATTGGTCATGTATTAGGCAGAAACAGTGTTCAACAAAACATTTTTCTGGGTTTTAGATACAGTGCTTTGGAGATCTTTAATAACATAAATGTTTTACATATTCTATGTATGCTCTAGTGCCCCTAACATAGAAAATTGTAGCACGTCATTGCAAGCTTACTCTGTTGTCACCAGTGAAACACAGTGCCCTCTTAAATTCCTCACCTTCTTAACTCATTATAATCAACAGTAACTGGATGTTTTTGAGGTGCTTTGATTGGAATTTTAAAATATTCCAATCTCTTTGGAGACCAAAGGCAATTTCAGTTTCATTACCTTTGGGATTATTCATACCTTTTATGGTGACTTTTAGCTTTGACATTTATTTTGAGAAACATGCCAAAAAAAAAGCAACCCAATAATAGGGGGTTCTCACTTAAATCTGTAGAGAAAGTCTCAATCTAGAGTGTTTGCCTTTTCAGGTGCCATTTATACTGCCTAATACAGTGCCATTTGCCTTGTGAAGATGCATAAACATTAGTTGTGCTGAATGTAGGACAGACATTCTCCCTAATCTTAATGATCTCAGTACACCACAGATGATTAAGAATGATCTGAAAACCAGCAGCTAAGGAACATCTTATTTAGCTGTAGCAAATTCATAATAAGTGTCCTTCAAGGATGAACATGTATTCTATTCTGGTTTGTATTTAGCAAGTAAAACTTATGTTGACCTTTAGTGCATTATATTCTGCTATAGAGTATTCTCTATGTACTGGAAGACCAGATGTTAGAGTCTTTTTTACTTTTTTTTTTTTAATGTTTTTATTTATTTTTTTGAGAGAGAGATTTACAGAGTGTGAGCAGGGGAGGAGCAGAGAGAGAGGAAGACACAGAATCTGAGGCAGGCTCCAGGCTCCCAGCTGTCAGCACAGAGCCCAACACAGGGCTCGAACCCACGAACCGTGAGATCATGACCTGAGCCAAAGTCGGACGCTCAACCGACTGAGCCACCCAGGCGCCCCAGATCTTAGAGTCTTAGACTTTGTTTCTTTGTACAACAACTGGAAAGGAGCAATGAAGCTTTTTTTTTTCTTTTCTTCCCAAAGCACAATCTGCCATAGTTTACTTTATGTGTGATAGAGATAATTTAAAAAAAAAGACTATATATAAAAGTTGTGTATAAATTTTGTCTCTGAAACATTTCTTTGGAGATTTTTTTCATTGATGCAAATGTTTAAAAAAATGCATACTTAAAGGATTGTTTTTTTTTTTTTTAACTGTTTTCATCTATTTTCTATCAGATGACTTTTTATTTCTAGCATAGAGATAGGCAGCACTCTTCAGACTGGTCTGTACTTTTATTATGCAGTCTTCTCAGAAAATTGAACTTATTCACGTTAAAGAAGTAGATACTGAAAGATATGCTCATAGAGCAGCAGATAGAACTTTGGTACCTGTAGCACATAGACAGGTTGCTAAATCTCAAAGTCCAAATCTGAGAACTACCAACCCTGTGACTGGGGTATAATACAGTGCTTTTAAATCGAGGAAAAAACAAATACTGTATCACCAAAGCTTTGTCTTAATTTTCATTACGTATGTAACTTTGTGGAACCAGCCTTCCTAGATTGGGCCCACAAGTAATTTATTTATAACTTTGAAACTAGGATAGAATATTGTTAGATTAATTCATCCAAGCTTTTGTCTCCTAAAACCTAATGCCCGTTGCAGAGTAGCATTATTGTATTAGGACCAGGTTGTTAAAAATGATGAGTGTTTACTCTTTTACTGGAGTATAAACATGTCAGCATTTTTAGATTGTTTGAAATCACTAAAATACCAATTTGAACTTGAAGGATGTAAGTGCTAGAAATCAATCTATCCCCTTACTCTTCAGCATTGTTCATGCCTATCTTTTGTTGTTTACATGCTCTTCTGCCAGGACTTTAGTACTGTAGGGACCCCTTTTGGCTTAATAAATATAATAGATGAGCCTTTCTGTCTACTGATCATGACTTCAACATTCCTAAGAATAAAGGTATTTCTAAATGAATTAAATTAGAAGGAGTTTTAATTATATGAAGGTGTTTAATACAGTGTGCATTCTGCCCATTCAAGTCTCTTCTCCATCATCCCCTTACACTTCTTGTTAATCTAAACACTGCTTTTTAGGCTATCCCTTTTAGAAACTGAAAATTCTGGTTTCAGTTTTTACGTTAAAAAACATTTGAATGTGTACCCCTCATATGTGAACAATTATGATCTATTAGTCATAGCTAAATAATCAGCTTCAAAGGAGTTGGTATCTTTTGACCGTTTACGTGAGGTTTGTTATTCTTGCATTTTGTGTACATGGCTGTAAATTATGTGCATTTATTCTATTTATGTTAACTAGCTGAATTTTATTTGAATTGTTAAATTAAAAAATTAAAACATCCTTATGAAAATATGGGGGTTTTTTCCTATAATGTCTTCTAATATTATGGTGAGAATGTTATACTTTCTTAGGATTATGTGAAGAACAAAAGTGCATTGCCATTTTCAAGGTGTTAGGCCCCTGTCTGCTAGACGTATAGTGATGTCTCTAGAGGAAACAAAAGGTCAAATAATCGAATTCCCTTGTAATTCAGTAAGGTATTTCTGTTCTGCCATATTTTCCACAGGTTTATTGATCTTTAGGTACCATACTTTTTTATGTATCAAAACATCCAGTTTGCAAAATATATCTGAGAAGTTGGAGACTGACTAAGTTATTTGATTGATAACTCCTTGGGTTATAATGATTTTTTTTAACATCATGAATTTTTGTTAGTTTTGGTTTCAGCCTTTCAGAAAGCTAAGAAAAAATTAAAAAGCTGGAAACTTGTTATAATAACCAAATGAATCCATGTATGACAAGTTGCAGCACGTGACACAGATATAAATGTTAATAGTAACTACCCATTTTACATTTTGTCCATTTGTTTAAGTTTTCACGAATTAACAGCAACCATCAAACATCACCTAGTTTTGTAAGTGAGGAAGGAAATCAGACAAATTTGTTGTGTTCCTTTTCTCAAACATAAAACTCAAACCTTTTGATTGCTTTCCACTGAAGACTGAAATAGTGGATGAGGTGAAGACATTGGGAAAATAATAGTTGAGGTTGGTATGACCAGCATATTTTAATAGTGTCCCAGGTTTTATTTATTCGTTTATTTATTCATTTATTAGTGAATAGCAGGAGTTGTGGTAGAGGAAGGAATTTGTGAGTGTGTGATTTCTTGAGGTTCAGGTATGACCTTCATACAACCGATAAACTCAGGCAAGAAAGCAAGATGTAGTTAAATGGTTTCCTTTATTTTCCTGATTATCTTGCATTGCACAAACCAGCTGACTATCTTAATATGTGGAATCAATTCAGTAATTTTAAGTTCACAGAGTGTGCTCTTTATACAGTGATTTCATGAAGTTTTCCAACAGCCTAGAGATTGGGTGAATA